TTTAGGTCCGTGAAATTCACGCAGACTTGCCATTTTTCTTCTTTCTTCTTGGCGCACATGGTATTAGACAGCCATTGGGGGAACTGCACCTCCTTGATGGACCCTGCTCCCAACAACTTCTCCACCTCTTCTTCCACAACTTTCGCATGATGGGGCACTATTCTTCGGGCCTTTTGCCTGACGGGTTCAATGAGGGGTTGACATGGAACCAATGGGTCATCACGTCAGCACTTATTCCCGTGATCTCGGCCTGGATCCAGGCAAAGACATTTGCATTGTGGCGTAAAAATGAGGTCATATCGTCCTTCTCTACACCGCTGAGTGATTCCCCTATCAAGAAGTATTTCTTGCTGTCATCAGGGTTCAAGAGAACCTTTATCAAGGCCTCGGTGGAGCGGTCGACAGGCTCTGTTATGGGCTCATCCACCCCTGGCCGACCGTTCTGTGATTGCTATTTGGCAATCACAGTATCGGGATCACACTCCTGACTTCGACCGCTTATTCCCGTTTTGACAGCAGCGTAGAAGCAGATTTTTGCCGAGGCCTAGTCATCCCGGATTTCCATTACGCCTGTGGTGTTGGAAACTTTATCTTCTGATGGTAGGATGAGTGGACCGCCTTAAGTGCATGCAACCGTGATCTCCCCATAATTGTGTTGTACGGGGAGTCGGAGTCTACCACCATGAATTCTACTGGAATGGTTACCACCCCCGCCTGTACCATGAGAGTGATTTTTCAAGGGGCAGGGAACTGGAACCGTTGAATCCGATGAGGGGAGTCTTCATGGGTTCCAAATCCTTCTGAGAAAGTCCCATCTTGTGAAAAAGGTGAATGTACATTACCTCAGAGGAGCTGCCCGAGTCCACCAATATCCTCTTAATGTCGAACTTTTTGACCTGCAACGTGATCACCAACGCATCCACGTGGGGGAAGACCACCCCTCCGAGATCAGCATCGGAGAACTGGATTACCTCGGCAGTGCCCCGAGATCTTTTGGGCGGCCGCTCGTCCCCCCTTTCATCCACCTTGATTGCCTGGGACACTCTTTGCAACTCGGAGCGGAGGGAGTTGTATTTGGGCCACTCCACCGTGCAGGCATGGATAACGTCGATCACGGGTACTGCCTCAGCTGGTCCTTCGGCTCGTTCCCCCGCCGATCGCCCGGCCCAGCCCTTGTCGAGGAACTCCCTAAGGTGCCCCTGATGTACCAACTGCTCTAAAAAGGACCTATAACTGTTGCACTCCTCCATCAAATGGTCGACATCTCTACGATATGAACATCGGAGGGCTGAATTCCTTGTCGACGGGTCGCCAAGCATCCTCAGGAGCCACCTAAAGTATGGTTTATTTTTAATTTTGGGGAGTATCTTGTGAATGGGCTCGTTAAACACCGTGCTTATCCCCTGGAAGGATAGACGACTCAGGGGTGGGATTGGCCCTCCCTTCCGGGACGGCTGCTCCCTTTCCTTTTTTCTTGGCATCGTCACCCTATTTTTGGGCGCGACAGACTCTTCCTCCACCCGGGCATACTTGTTTATCCGAGCCATCAAGTCTTTCATGTCTGTCGGAACCTTCTTGGTCAATGATTTGTACAAATCTGTGTCTTAGGACAGGCCCAACCTGAATGACATCGTGGCCAATGTCTCCGTACATGCCTCCACCTCATTGACCTCATCCCAATAGCGGACGGCATATTGCCAGAGTGTCTTTCCCCTTTTTCGCCTGAGCGTCAACAGAGCGTCAATGTCCTTAGGCTTCTTTGCTGTTAGTGATGAATCGGGCCAGGAAAAGCCCTGTCAACTGTCTCCAGGATCCTATGCTCTCGGGGGCAAGGTTCTCATACCACCTCATGCCAGTATCCCCGAGGCTCATGGGAAAAACTCGGCACAAAACCCTTTGGTCAGTGTCATAGATTGACATCAATTGTCTGTATTGGCGAAGATGACTCTCAGGATCGGTCTTTCCATCGTATACCTTGAACCGTGGAACGATAAAATTTTTCGACAATTCGGCCTCCCTGATAGCCCGGACGAACGATGAAACAACTTCGTCAGAGTAAACCGCAGGTTCGTTGTCGCGCTGAGCGACGAAGGGGACTCGGGGATCTCTAGCTGATCTATCTCCACGAGGCCTTCGAGATATGGACTCTGCGTGAGCTTCGACGGCTCCAATGCCCTCAGGTATCCCTCGACGTAGGTACCACTTGGATAGGTCCGCCTTTTGACCCGATTTCAACCGTCCCTTAAAGTCCAAGGACCCTTGACAGTCCCGCCCCTCGGGCGTGTGCCTAACCCATTCCTTTTCGGAGGGCTCATGCCGGGGGGGCCTGAACAGGCCCTGGCTGGGCACCTGGTCCCCGACCCCTCGGCAGCGTTCATCCGCGCTTGCTGACTGCTTGAAATCGTCAAGGCGTTGTAGGACCTTGGCGTTCTCCCTCTTGAGCTGCTTAATACGTTTGGCCAACCGCTTCTCCACCATCTCCACAATGTCGTGGGCTCTAAGGTCACGCCCCCCAAGGCATTGATCCATAGGGAGCGTTCTTTGCGACGAATGCCCCTGCCCATCTGATTGACCTAATGAATTCGGCTTCAGGACCATTGGAATCCGGACGGGATCTGCGTTCTTGTCCCGTACACCTACTCCCTCACCCTGAGATCGAGTGTTCACCATCAAACGATTGCCACCGAAAAACTTAGCAATGCTTTCGGTTCCCACAGACGGAGCCAAATTGCACGGGATAATTCCTACAATCTTTTAAGGTAGCGATCCCTTGATTGACGAACCTGAAAAGATGGGGTTAGAAGAAAGGGGGCCAGGCGTGAGCCCGACGGATTCCCACAAACGACGCCAAATTGCACGGGATAATTCCTGTAATCTTGTAAGGTAACGATCCCTTGATTGGCGAACCTGAAAAGACGGGGTTAGAAGAAAAGGGGCCAGGCGTGAGCCCGGTGGATCCCCTCCGAAACTTAAGTCAGTAAGATCGAAGGGCTGTTTTTTAGTAGATGTGCTCTGGTTTTATTTGCGTACCTTTGTCCATTTTTCTGAGGGATATTTATACCTGAATTAGCAATGATTGCTCTAGATCTTCAGTCCCATCTGGACATCTCACATCTGACACACCATCCCTCGTGCTGTGAATGCTTCCCCTTTACGCCTCCTCCAATTGAATGCTAGGGGAATGGTGTAAATGCTCGGCCACAAGTCAAGCATTTATACTATGAGCCGAGCAACCCAATCCAAGAGGTTGGCGTCTGACACCGACAAAGCACGGACTACTCGGCGAATCAGGGAACTCAGGAGAACCAATCGCGTTGTTTTGGCGCGTCAGTCATTAATGCTCCAGCCATCATGTCAGTAGGCATAGACTTGCAGAGAGCAGTTGACGACATCCTCGCATTTATTTGTCCTGTCATTGTCACTCATTTCGCCATAAATGCGAGGTCATATCGTTTTGATTATGATGCCAACTGTTGTACTCGGCCGCTTTGTGTCGCCATGTCTCGGCTCACCCCCTCGGCATCTTCCAGACATCCTAATGACTTTATTTGTGTCACGTGTCACCCTGGGCGTTGAAGATCCATATAGGACTCCCGCTACTAATATAATGGATACACTTACCTTACCTTCACAGCGAGGAGATTTGGTTCTTCGTCAGGAGATTGAAGGGGAAGCCTCTTCTTCGTCCAAGCTTCTGGGATCACTCCATCGCAGGACACAGACGCAGAGGAGAAGAGAACATCGTTCCGTCGAAGGGTCAGTTATGAGAGAGAGACGATTGAGAAGGAATGAAAAAGGACCAAAAGCCCGACATATTTATATTGTCATAAAAAATAGTACTCTTTTGTTGCTAACAAAGTCGAAGTGGAGATTTCATTAAAATTTTCCATCGCACACGGCGCGTGTTTTGTATTTTCATGTATTTCCTGAAACACATTTTTTTTTCTCCTCATTTTCAACTTGTTTCCAAGACAATATATATGAAATAAAAATAATTTTTAAACATATTTTTATTTAATTTTTTAGTAAAAATTAATAAAAACAAAAACATAAAGCACGAAATAAAAACAGTAAACAAACAGAGCCTAAGAATCCAAACAGATTCTTTCTTGACCCGAAAAATAATAAACAGATTCTTTCAAACATAATCTTGCAGCCAATTCCGCAACAAAAACAATATGCTTAGTGGCACCAACAATTTTGAAATATTCATATTTTGCAATTTATTTTTATCATTTATACTCCTGTTAAGTATAACTTTGTTTATAGGCTAGTTTGGTAATCTTATTGTAAGAAAAAAATAATATCTAATGTATAGTAACACTGTTTTTTTTTTTTGGGTCATGTGTAACACTGAAATAAGGATAGATTCATGACAAAAGTTTTTTTGACCCAAATATTAATTTAATTTAATTATTTGATGGATAAAAAAATATTGGTCGTCAAATGACACATTCTCACCGGGCTGGCCGTATTACTCATCCAAAGTACGGAAAAAAAAAAACACGGGTTGATAAAGTGTCAATCGGTTTAAACTTTAAAGCCCGACATATTGGTCGGCGAATGTCAGTTCTTCGTTGAAACTGAATTAGTTGTGACAGAGAGAGAGAGAGCAGAGAATGATATCGGAGGGATTCGAAGACGAAGAGAAATGGCTTGCGGAGGGAATCGCTGGCATTCAGCACCACGCCTTCTATATGCATCGTGCATTGGTAAATTTTCTTTTATCATTTTATCAAAATAGTATAAACCCTAACTTGTCGACGAGTCCCCAACTAAATTTATATGCTATTAGGACTCCAACAATCTCAGAGAAGCTCTCAAATATTCAGCCCAATTGTTGTCGGAACTTCGAACTTCGAGACTATCACCTCACAAATACTACGAGCTATGTAAGTTCTTCGATTGTACCATTCTATTTATTAGATCGGTGTCCTATTTTTTTCTGATTCTGTACTTTATTGGATCTTTTTTGTAAAATGAATTTATTTCATATAGATATGCGAGCGTTTGATGAACTGAGGAAGCTAGAGATGTTCTTTAAGGAAGAGGACAAGCATGGTTGTTCAATCGTCGACTTATATGAACTCGTTCAACATGCTGGCAACATTCTGCCTAGACTGTAAGTTGCAATGAACTGAGTTTGCCACGATTCTCTGAATCAATTCTTCTCCTGATGCCAATTTGAAACGATTCGTGCCTACAACGAGAAGTTATAGATCATTTACGTTCAGATCCAATCTTTTCTGATCTTTTGATCCATTATCCACTCTTTCTGATATGACTGCATCCTACTATCCACCATGTATTGAGACTTGGTGTTTTGGATCTTTTTTCTCTGCTAATTAGTTGCATGTTTGTTTTGGCCATGTTCCATATTACATGATTTACGACTCATGCACTTGATTTATACTCGTGATGAAAAGTTACCTCATTCTATTATTTGTCACCTGCATATTGGCAACGGTTAAAATGCTAGGCCTATGCGCCAGGCATAGCTTTCAAAGATTTCTGACGACCCCAGGTGATAGACTAAATGATTGCCAGATTAATAACTTAGTCAAATGGAAAAATTATTTTTGGATCATTTATCCCAATTACTAGTTGGGATTCGTGCTCACTTGAGCCCACATTAGCGCCCAGTATATCAGGTGTTTATTGATTGCACACATATCTGCGTATAAAATTTAGTGAAAAGAATTATAATTGCCCCTTATATATGTGACATTGATAAGAAAACTAATAAAATTCTATGTCCAGGAAATTCTCAATCTCCCATGAGGTCTCGCCCATTAGTGTCCAATTTGCTAGGCAAGTGCATGAAAACTGTGGTGGCTGCCTCAATCATGGCCGACTAGGTGAAGGTCATCTAGGTGTAGTGGGTAACTTGCTTCGGCTAGGCAGTCACCTGTAAGGCTGTAACAATTATGCTGCCAAATGCACTCAGACCATTCGACCAGTAGAGTGAGGACTCATTTTGTGAAATAAATATCTCCCACGCTTGATTGCATGAGTCATTTCATTAATTTTCCGCACATTTCTTCCTTTATGCATGTGTATTTTTATATGTTTCCTTGTACAAGCAAGCCTGTGCACACTACTAGACATTAAATGTCTTGTCATCTGTCAGGTATCTCCTATGTACGGTAGGATCGGTTTACATCAAATCAAAGGAGGCTCCTGCCAAAGATGTTCTTAAAGACCTTGTTGAAATGTGTCGTGGAGTTCAACATCCCATACATGGGCTCTTTCTAAGGAGCTATCTTTCTCAAGTTAGTAGAGATAAGTTACCGGATATTGGCTCTGAGTATGAAGGGTGAGACAATTGGCTGTGTGAATTTGCATTCTTTTTTTTTTAACACTTAATAGGGGGTTTTGATGTTACAAATTCTCTCTGTCTAAGAAATATTTTACACTTACTCTAATATTTTATTTTTTCCAAGCAGCTCTTTGGCCTACCAGTACTTCAGTCCTGCTTGGGATATGTATATTTGTTTCCATATGTTTGTTTGGATGTTCTGAACTAACTAATTTAAAGGGTGTAAAAAAAAAATTGTGTTCTAGAACAAAAAAGCTAATATGTTGCTTATTGATGTTCTAGTTTATAGATCTTATATTTTCACGAAATCGTAAAGCAAATAGTGTTAATATGAAAATGATTGGTGGAATATGATTCTTAAAGATATGAAAATAACTATTTCTTTCGTTCCCATTAATGGGGGTCTCGGAGAAGTTGATTGGATAGAGATCTAATCATTGATATTATTTGCACAAAATAGTTGCCCTCATATTTAAACCCATAACCATAAGGTTACTGTGCTGATTTCTTTAAAAAATAATATTTAGGTCATTAGGTGAATAGTGGTTGCATATAAAAAAGTGCCCAACTTTTTTCTACAGTCTGAATATTGCATAAAATAACATGATGGATAGTATTTGGTCATTTTATGACAGTGGTAAACTTTTCGGGCTAACAACCGTGAGATTGTGGCTTTGTGGGTGAAAAGGTTAGGTTATATCTAGTCCACCCCTTCTAGTATCTTCGATTTACAGGGACTAAACTAAACAACATTGATATTTTGAGTTTTTATATCAACGGTTATTTTCTTTTTCTTGTCCTTTCTTTTTCACATTTTTTCTGGTTTTCTCCTTTGCAGCTTTAAGCTCTTTTTCAAATTCCCTTATTGATCATGTGGTTTTTTTACCTCTAGGCTCATGTGGTCTTAATCACTGGAACTTTGTGTAACACACAAGTGAGAGGATCTTTGTTTCACTATCAGTGTAGTAAAAATTAACCTAATATCTGCAAGCGAGTTCTGTGTGGGTTTGCGTTTGTTAACACCACATTTTAGTGTTACTGTTTGACTAGAAAGTTACCTCGTAAGACAAAAATCATCAATGGAATGGTGGTGTCTTACTTTCATGATGATCAGTTGTGGAAGTGCATTTT